TGAGCTAGATGGTCCTTTCTTAAATAATGTTGTGTTTTTTTTTTCTGATTCTCTTGTTTGCTTCATTTTCCAAGCTTCCATCACCAGTTCATTACCGAGTTCTTTATCCCCACTACCCCTGGGAGCTCTATTCCCCATCACCCTACAGGATTTCCTTCATCTTTTGCCTGTATCAGATCCCCTGCTTCCCTGAATCCCTGTTTTTGTCTCTCTTTTTGTTTACTTGTTTCTATAGAGTTCATCTTCCAGTAACTTCCTGAGCAAGTGGGCGAGTGAGCATAGGAGATAAAACATGTAAGACTTTTCAGATCTAGGGTATGTTCACTCCACATTAACATTAATAATTTGTCTAGTTATAGAAACCTGGAAACCGTAACCAGCAATTATATGTCAGAATTTTGAAGGCACTGATTCCATCATCATCTAGCTTCCGGGTTGTCGTTGAACAAGCTAATGTTAGTCTAATTCCTGATATCTTATGCATGACCATTGTCTCTTTCACACACACCTTGTAGCATCCTCTCCTTTCCCAAATGTTCTAAAATTATATGATAGATCTTTTATTTTTTTTAAATCCATTGAGACAGATACTTAGTTTTCTTTTTCAATATGAAAACTCACATCCCTCAGAATTTTGTTGAAATATTTCTTCAAATAAATCCCTCCACCCATTTTCTCTGTCCTCTCCCATTCCTCAGCTGTCAAACTCCACCAAATTGATCGCCTATGTTTCTTGTTTCTTTTATGTTTTTACTCTATTTGTGAGGGAGTCTCTCTACATCATCTTCCAAAATTTATATTGAATTTTTCATCTTCTATCATATATCTAACTCCCAAAAGCTTTTCATTTCTCATCCAATATTCCTTTTTAATAGTACCCTGTTTCCGTTTCACAGTACAGTGTTTTCTTTTATGTCTCCTTGGATGTAAATAAAAGGTTATTTTAAGTTTCGCTTCTCCTGTCAATGTTGTTTCTGCTTCCTCCGAGATTCTTCCTTCTGCTCCAGCACATCTCGGGTTTCCTAAGGGCTTCGTGGTCCTCCGCAGTGAGGCTCTCTGAAGCTAATAGGGCTTTGTGTGTGCCTGCGTAGAGCTTTTGACTAAGGCCGTCTGGTTAAGGTTGTTTTGTCGAGAGATTCCCAACTATCAATTTCAGCACGTCTTTTCTCTTGGTCAATCCATGTTCCTGAGAGACAATCTTGCTATCTCCTCCCTGGAGGAACAGCCTGACTGGCAGCCTTCCAGAAGCCAAGGGGAGGAAGGAAGCTGATTGTTCTCATCATTCAATACATAGGTTTCTATTTTTTCCTCTATTTTCAGTGGGATACCCTACTCACAGCTTGTGCCTGGTATCCCTGAGTCCAGAACCTCTCTGGTTTACTTCTCCAAGGAGTAAACCCACAATCATCCAGGATGTTGGATGATGTCACCTGGCAGCAGAGATTTGGGAGGGAATCTGATCTAACTGCATCTTATATAGAACTTTCTACTGCATCTCCCATTTTCAGCTTTCCCTGAACTCCCACTTTCCGATGGGTCTGGTGCCTTCCATTTGGAGATTCTGGAGCTCTGAAGAGCTCACAGTCTTGCTCCCAGGCTTTGTCCATTGTCATCTCAGCTTTCAGATTTCTCTGTCCTAACAAATTTGCTACCACTCATTTGTCTGCTCTCCAGCTTTCAAAATTTCTGTTATTGCTATTTCATTTCCCATTCTCTTTATCCTTTGGATCTACGCCTTTTTGATCTCTGTATTTTCATTTCTGAGGGATTTCAGGAGGAAACTATGATAACAGCATGTGTTCCACATGACATATTTAAGAAGAAGTCACAGCATTAAGTCTTTGTTTCATCCTTCATGACAACAACTTATAGGAAGAAGCTGGTACTAGTGTTTGTTGCTAGGGAAGAGACTAGAATGAGAGGAATCCATACTTTTTCATTTATACCCTTTTGGACCTTTAAAATTTTTGACCACGTGCAAAGATTACCCTTTCAAAACTAATTAATCAATTTAACAAAGCAAAAGCCAAAAAGCTCCCATGAGCATCTTTCTCTCTATAACCAGCTTACATTAGGAAAAGGAGAGTATTATTGTCACTGCGCATTCTATCACACAATTTGCTGCAAAAACATTAACTCAAAATTGCCATGATTTTATTATAGGCATAATTTATACAATTTCCTTAAACCTTGAATTAAGGTTGGAGGGAATGTTGTTGATCAGCAAAGGCTGTCAATGGCTAAAGCTCTGGGTTGACACCCAGCTGTGACCTCTCTTGGTTAAGGACCAATGTCCTACCTGGCTGCAACTGCTATTGATGGTCCTTGGGGCTGACTCCAACACACTCTGCAGTCTCAAGCAGGGCTCACAAAGTAATGGTTAATTAAATTAAAAATATATCTTATGTGGTATGAGTTTTGAGTAATCAATAGGAAAAATGTTGACTATGTCTCCCTCATATATAACACACATAGCCCAAGAAGTAATTGGTACTCAGCATATCAGTGGTTTTGTGCAACTATAGGTAAATGTCAGGTGGCTTACAAGTGAGAGAACAGTAGTGGTTCCATGTGTTATCCACTGAGAACCTACAACAGCCGGAAGCGTGTTCTAAGCAAGGAATCTTGTCAGTAGTTTGTTCTGCTTTCTCTCTGTGAGCATAAGATTTGTCACTACTTTTGCATCTGGTTTTACAAGCTTCTCAGCAACCATGTGACTGGGACCCGTTTTTGCTAGCAGGGATGTAACCTCGAATGATGCCTCTGTAATTTCAGCCTTTTTTTTCTTTAGAAATAAGATCCACACATTACCAGACTGGAAAATATTAGTTCGTGCTTGTTCTTGGAAAATACAATTAATTTGGTGAGAGATCTTGGGCTTTGTTTGCAAATGACACAAAAGCTTTGATGGCTTTGTGCCACAACTTGTGACGGGCAGCAGACAGGGCACAAGGAATTGGAATCCAGTGGGATGCCAGCCCAGTGAAACTCAGCTCTCAGGCAGTCGCCATCATACTTCCTGCTCACTCTTCCATGTTCAGCTGGCTGTCCAAAATCACTGGATTCAGTCTTCGTCATTATTTATTTTTATGACAATGCTTTGAGTTGTAGTATTTCTATTATTATTTTCAATAACTTTTTCTAAGAATAGTTTTAGATTTACAGAAAGCCGTGGAGATTGTACAGAAGGTTCCCATATACCACACACTCAATTTCCCCTGTTGCTAACATCTTTCATTACTATAGAACCTTTGTGACAACTAATGAACCATTACCGATTCATTCCTATTAACTAAAGTTTACGCTCTATTCAGATTTCCTCAGCTTTTGCCACATTACATTCAGTCGTCATGTTTCCTTGGGCTCCTCTCGTCTGTGGCAGTTTCTCAGACTTTGCTTTTCTTGATGACCTTGACAATTTCGAGGAGTACCAGCCAGGTATTTTGTAAAACGTCCTTCAACTGGGGCTTGTCTGATGTGTTTCTTATTATTAGACCTACATAAATTATTTGGAATTCTTCTGCACAGGAGATTGTCTATTCTCTCCCATTTATTTATTTTTCCGGTGATTTATTTATGCCAGAATGGGTTCATGGAGATTTATTTTATACTTTGAGTGATAATCCAATACTACTTTATTCATTTTATTGCTAAAATTGTTCCAGCTTTGGCCCTTGGGAGTTCTTTGAGCTGGCTCCTGTATCCCATTGACACACCCCCTTCATTGTAGTTTCTTTGAACAATGCCTTACTTTCTGGAACTGCAAGATGCTGCAAGATCATCTTGAGTATTTCTTGCTCCAGCCTAGAAGCAGCCATTTCTTTAAGGAGCTTAAGGATTCCTTTTATTGGAGAATGGTATTAGAAACCAAGATCTGGGCACTGAGAGTGCTCATTGCTGCTAGAGTGTCATTGCTTCCAGAATTTCTCACTTGACAGAGGAAGGAAAAATATGTGTGCATACTTAACTATGTATATACGTGTATATATATATATATATATTTCTATGTGTATCCATCTGTGATTATATTAAACTAAACATGAGTTCACACAGATGTCTTCAACTCTAATGCAATGCCACATGGATCATTCTAGCACTCTCCTCTTGCTCATCTGTAATCTCCCACTCAACAGTGAAAACCCTGGCTCCCATCCCCCATCCATTTACTTAATTGTTCAATTCCAGAATACACATATATTGGTTTCAGAACTGTTCATCCATATCCTTGCGAGCAAAAGCTTTACAAACTAGAATACAGTGATTATATACAATGTCTTGTGCCCTTAATCCTACAGATTCCACTAATTTCCAGTTATTTAGGTTGGCACCTATTCCCTTCACCCGATTCACTGAGCTTGTTGCATATATTTGCAATATAGTTAGATTCTTTTGTCACAGTCTGCGTTCCACTCTGGGATCCCCTGAACTCTAAATGAATTTTTAAAATATGCATATATTAAGGTTCACTCTTTGTAGGTACTGTAAAGCTCTATGAGTTTAGATGAATCTATGGTGTCATGTATCCATCATTACACTATTATACAGAAGATTTTCATCACACTAAAAATAGCCTTGTGCTTCACCTATTCAGTGCTGCCCCTCCCCACATCCCTCACAGCCATATCTGTTTACTGTCTCATAGTTTTGCCCTTTGCAGAATGACATCCATAGCAATACAGTGTACAGCCTTTTTAGACTATTGTCTTTCACTTAGCAATACATATGCATTTAAAATTCATTTATGCCTTTGCAAACCTTGATAGCTCATTTCTTTTTTTCCCCAGCTTTATTGAGATATAATTGACAAGTAAAAATTATATATATATTTAAGATGCACAAACTGATGTTTTGATGTATGTATACATTGTGAAATAATCACCATGATCAAGCTAATTAACATATCCATTACCTCACATGGTTACCATTTTCTTTCTTTTTTTTTTTCTGGTGAAAACACTTAAGATCTATGCTCTTAGCAAACTTCAAGTATACAATACAGTATTGTTATCTATAGTCATATTGCTTTACATTAGAGCTCCAGAATTTATTCATGTTGCATAACTGAAACCTTGTATCCCTTGACCAACATCTTCCCATTTCCCCATGCCCCTAGCTCCTGGCAGCCACCATTCTATTCTCTGATTCTATTATTGAGTTTGATTATTTTAGATTATACATATAAGTGAGAACATTTGAGCAGTATTTGTCTGCCTGTGTCTGGCTTATTTCGCTTAGCATGATGTCCTCCACGTTGTTGCAAACAGCAAGATTTCCTTCTTCATTAAGGACGAATCATATTCCATTGTATGTGTACACCACATTTACTTTATACAGTTATCCATCGATGGATATTAAGTTGTTTCCATATCTTGGCTGTTGTGATTAATGCTGCAGTGAACATGGAAGTGCAGACGTCTCTTGGAGTTACAGTACCAACTTCATTTCCTATAGATATATACCCAGAAGTGAGATTGTTGGATAAAAAGGTAGTTCTATTTTTAATTTTTTGTGGAATGTTATATGTCAACAAATTGGATAGCCTAGAAGAAATGGATAAATTCCTAGAAACATACAACCTACCAAAATTCAACCAAGAAGAAATAGAACAACTAAATAGATTAATAACAAATAAGGAGATTGAATCAGTAATCAAAAAACTCCCAACAAAAAAAGCCCAGGACCAAATGGCTTTACAGATGAATTCTATCAGACATTCAAAGAGGAATGAATGCCAATCCTTCTTAAATTCTTCCAAAAAATAGAAGAAGGAACACTTCCAATTCATTTTACAAGGCCAGAATCACCCTGATACTAAAGTCACACAGAGACACCACAAGAAAAGAAAACTACAGGCCAATATCCTTGATGAAGTTTTCAGATCAGTTGGGTAAATACCTAGAAGTGCAATGGCTTGATCATACAGTAAGATTCTAACTTCTTAAGAAACTGTCTTCCAAAGTGGCTGTATCATTTTGCATTCCTACCAGCATTGACTGAGAATTCCCATTGTTCTACAGCCTCCCCAGCAGTTATTATTGTCAGTTTTCTGGATTTTAGCCATTTGAAGAGATGTGTAGTAGTATGTAATTGTTGTTTTAAATTTGCAGTTCCCTAGTGACTAATGATGTGGAACACCTTTTCATTTGTTTATTTTTTACCTATGTATCTTCTTTGGTAACATGCCAAGGTCTTTAGTGCATTTTTAATTGGGTTGTTTGTTTTGTTATTATTGAGTTTTAAGGGTTCTTGTTATATTTTGGATACAAGTCCTCTATCAGATAAGGTCTTGCAAAAATTTTCTTTCATTATGTAAGTCTAGCCTTTTCATTTTCTTAACAGTCTTTCACAGAGTAAAAGTTTTCATTGTAATGAAGTCTAACTTATTAACTTGTTCTTTCACGGATTGTGCTTTTGGCGTTGTAGCTAAAAACTCATCACCAATCAAAGATCATCTAGATTTTCTCATGTGTTTTCTTCTAGATGTTTTATAGATTTCCATTTTGTATTTAGGTCTATAGCACATTTTGAGTTAACTTTACTGAAAAATGTAAGGTCTATGTCCAGGTTCATATTTTTTACACGTGGACATTCCATTGTGTCAGCACCATTTGTTGAAAAGACTATCCTTTTTCCGTTGAATTGACTTCGCATCTTTGTCAAAATCCAGTTGACTAGATTTATGTGGCTCTATTTCTTGGCTCTCTGTTCTCTTCTACTGATCTGTATGTCTATACTTTTGACAACACCACACTGTCTTGAATGCAGTCAGTTTATATGAAGTCTTAAAATCAGGTAGTGTGAGTCCTTCAACTTTGTTCTTCAGTATTGTGTTGGCGATTCTAGCTCCTTTGCTTTTCCATATAAATTTTAGATTCAGTTTGTCAACGTCTACAAAATAGCTTGCTGGGATTTTGATTGTCATTGCCTTGAATCTGTAGATCAAGTTGAAAAGAAATGACATTTTTATGATATTGAGTCTTCCAATCCATGAACATGGAATATTTTTCCATTTATTGAGATGTTCTTTGATTTCTTTCATCAGTGTTTTATACAGCATACACGTTGTATACAAATTTTGTTAGATTTATATCCAACTGCTTAATTTTTTGTGCTATTGTAGATGGTATTATTTTTTAAATTTCTAATTTCGATTATCCATTGCTGGTATATAGGAAAGCAATTAACTTTTTTTTATTGAGTTCATAATAGTTTACATCAGTGTGTGATTTCAGTTGTACATTATTTCTTAACTGCTCCCCTTCACCCCCTGTGCCCACGTCCCACTCCCCTTCCTCTGGTAACCACTGAACTGTTTTCTTTGTCCACGTGTTTGTTCATATTCCATATATGAGTGAAATCATCTGGTGTTTGTCTTTCTCAGTCTGGCTTATTTTGCTTAGCATAATTCCCTCCAGGTCCTTCCATGTTGTTGCAAATGGGATGAATTTGTCTTTTTTAATGACTGAGTAGTATTCCATTGTATACATACACCACATCTTCTTTATCCAGTCATCAGTCGCTGGCCACTTGGATTGTTTCCATGTCTTGGCTATTGTGAATAGAGCTGCAGTGAACATAGGGGTGCATATGTTACTTTGGATCATTGACTTCAGGTTGTTTGGGTAGGTACTGAGTAGTGGGATAGCTGGGTCATATGGTAGTTCTATTTTTAGTTTTTTGAGGAATCTCCATACTGTTTTCCATAGTGGCTGCACCAGTTTGCATTCCCACCAGCAGTGTACGTGGGTTCCCTTTTCTCCACACCTTCTGCAACATTTGTTATTTTTAGTCTTAGTGATAACAGCCATTTTAGCCAGTGTAAGGTAGCATCTTAGTGTAGTTTTGATTTGCATTTTCCTGATGATTAGTGGCGTTGAACATCTTTTCATGTGTTTATTGGCCATCTGTATATCTTCTTTGGAAAATTGTCTGTTCATATCCTCTGCCAATTTTTTGATGGGGGTGTTTGTTTTTTTGTTGTTCAGTTGTGTGAGTTCCTTGTATATTATGTAGATTAACCCCTTGTCAGATATATGATTTGCAAATATTTTCTCCAAGTTGGTGAATTGTCTCCTTGTTTTGATCCTAGTTTCTTTTGCCTTGCAGAAGCTCTTTCGTCTGATGAACTCCCACTTGTTTATTCTTTTGTTTGTTTCCCTTGTCTGAGAACACATGATATTTGAAAAGATCCTTTTCAGTTCAATGTCAAATAGTGTACTACCTATATTATCTCCCAGGAGTTTTATGGTTTCAGGACTTACATTCAAGTATGAGCCATTTTGAGTTTATTTTTGTGTATGGCATGAGATAATGGTCTACCTTCATTCTTTGCATGTGGCTGTCCAGTTTTCCCAACACCATTTATTGAAGGGACTATCTTTTCTCCATTGTATGTTCTTGGCACCTTTGTTGAAGATTAACTGTCCACAGATGTGCGGTTTTATTTCTGGGATTTCAGTTCTGTTCCACTGATTTGTGTGCCTGTTTTTGTACCAGCGCCATGCCGTTTTTATCACTATGGCTTTGTAGTACATTTTGAAGTCAGGAATTGTAATACCTCCAGCTTTGTTCTTTTTTCTCAGGATTGCATTAGCAATTTGGGGTCTTTGGTTGCCCCATATGAATTTTGGGATTCTTTGTTCTACTTCTATGAAGAATGTCATTGGGATTCTGATTGGGATTGCATTGAATCTGTAGATTGCTTTGGGTAGTATGGGCATTTTAACTACGTTTATTCTTCTAATCCATGTGCATGGAATCTCCTTCCATCTCTTTATGTCATTATCAATTTCTATAAGTAATGTCTTATAGTTTTCATTGTATAAGTCCTTCACCTCCTTGGTTAAATTTATTCCTACGTACTTTATTCTTTTAGTTGTGATTGTAAATGGAATTGTATCCTTGAGTTCTCTTGTAAGTTTGCTATTAGAGTATGGAAAAGCAATTGATTTTTGTAAGTTGACTTTGTACCCTGCAACTTTACTGTAGTTGTTAATTATTTCATTAGTTTTCCAGTGGATTCCTTGGAGTTTTCTATGTATAAGATCATGTCATTTGCAAAAAGTGAGAGTTTCACTTCTTCACTCCCTATTTGGATTCCCTTTATTCCTTTCTCTTGCCTAATTGCTCTGGTCAAAACCTCCAGTACTATGTTGAATAAGAGTGATGATAGTGGGCATTCTTGTCTTGTTCCTGTTCTCAGGGGGATGACGCTCAGTTTTTGCCCATTGAGTATGATGATGGCTGTGGGTTTGTCATATATGGACTTTATTATGTTGAGGTTATTTCCCTCTATCCCCATCTTGTTAAGAGTTTTATCATAAATGGCTGTTGGATCTTGTCAAATGCTTTCTCTGCATCTATTGAGATGATCATGTGATTTTTCTTCCTCAATTTGTTGATGTGGTATATCATGTTGATTGATTTGAGGATGTTGAACCATCCCTGTGTCCCTGGTATGAATCCCACTTGATCATGATGTATGATCCTTTTGCTATATTACAGAATTCAGGTTGCCAATATTTTGTTGAGGATTTTTGCATCTATGTTCATTAGCGATATTGGCCTGTAGTTTTCCTTTTATGAGTTATCCTTGTCAGGCTTTGGTATCAGAGTGATGTTGGCCTCATAGAATGTGTTAGGAAGTGTTCTATCTTCCTTAATTTTTTTTTGGAATAGCTTGAGAAGGATAGGTATTAAATCCTATCTGAATGTTTGGTAGAATTCTCCAAGGAAGCCGTCTGGTCCTGGGGTTTTACTGTTTCAATCTCTTTCCTTGTGATTGGTCTGATCAAATTATCTGTTTCTTATTGATTCAGCTTTGGGAGGTTGTAAGAGTCTAAGAATTTATCCATTTCCTCTAGATTATCTATTTTGTTGGCATATAGTTTTTCGTAGTATTCTCTTATAATCCATTGTATTTCTGTGGTGTCCGTTGTTATTTCTCCTCTTTCATTTCTTTTTTTTTTTTTTTTTTTAAAGATTGGCACCTGAGCTGACAACTGTGGCCAATCTTTTTTTTTTTTTTCTTCTTTATCTCCCCAAACCCGCCCCCCCCCCCGGTACATAGTTGTATATCTTAGTTGTGGGTCCTTCTAGCTGCGGCATGTGGGACACCACCTCAATGTGGCCTGATGAGTGGTGCCACGTCCATGCCCAGGATCCAAACCAGTGAAACCCTGGACTGCTGCAGTGGAGTGTGCAAACTTAACCACTTGGCCATGGGGCCGGCCCCTCCTCTTTCATTTCTAATTTTGTTTATCTGAGCTTTCTCTTTTTCTTTGTAAGTCTGGCTAGGGGTTTGTCAATTTTATTTGTCTTCTCAAAGAACAAGCCCTTTGTTTCATTGATCCTTTCCACTGCCTTTTTTGTTTCAATAGCATTTACTTCTGCTGTGATATTTATTATTTCTCTTCTGCTGACTTTTGGCTTTGTTTTTTCTTCTTTTTCTAACTCAGTTAGACGTAATTTCAGATTGCTTATTTGGGATTTTTCTTGTTTGTTAAGGTGAACCTGTATTGCGATGGATTTCCCTCTTAATACAGCTTTTGCTGCATCCCATGTCAATTGGTACGGCATGTTGTCATTTTCATTTGTGTCCAGATATTTTTTGAGTTCTCCTTTAATTTCTTCAATGATCCATTGCTTATTCAATAGCATGTTGTTTTGTCTCCACATTTCTGTCCCTTTCTCAGATTTTTTCTTGTAATTAATTTCTAGCTTTATAGCATTGTGATCAGAAAAGATGCTTGTTATTATTTCAATTTTCTTAAATTTAGTGAGGCTCACCTTGTTTCCCAACATATGGTCTATCCTTGAGAATGTTCTGTGTGCACTTGAGAAGAATGTGTATTCTGCCATTTTTGAATGGAATGTTCTATATATGTCTATTAAGTCCAACTGGTTTAGCTTTTCATTTAATTCCACTGTTTCCTTGTTGATTTTCTGTCTGGATGATCTACCCATTGATGTGAGTGGAGTGTTGAGGTTCCCTACTATTATTGAATTATTATTAATATTTTCTTTTAGGTTTGTTAATGGTTGCTTTATGAACTTTGGTGCTCCTGTGTTGGGTGCATAGATATTTACTAATGTTATTTCTTCTTGATGGAGTGTCCCTTTGATCATTATACACTGCCCCTCTTTGTCTCTCTTTACCTGTCTTATCTTGAAGTCTACTTTGTCTGATGTAAGTATTGCGACACCTGCTTTCTTTTGTTTGCCATTAGCTTAGAGTATCATCTTCCACCCCTTCACTCTGAGCCTGTGTTAGTCACTGGAGCTGAGATGTGTTTCCTGGAGGCAGGATATTGTTGGGTCTTGTTTTTTAATCCATCTTGCTGCTCTGTTTCTTTTTATTGGAGAATTCAATCCACTTAAGTTTAGGGTGATTATTGATGGAGGAGAGCTTAATGCTGTCATTTTATCACTCGTTTTCTGGTTTTCCTTTGTTTCTCGTCTTTTGTGTTTTGGTCTACCCATTGAATTATGTAGTTTTTTTATGATGTGTTTCTTTGTTTTCTCCTTATTTATTATTTGTGTTTCTGTTCTGCTTTTTTGTTTAGTGGTTATCCTGAGGTTGGCATTCAGAATCTCATGTATAAGATAGTCCATTTTCTGATGGCCTCTTATTTCCTTAGTCTAAACTGATTCAGTCCCTTTCTTCCTCCCCTCCTAAGTTGTTTTTCTCACATGTTATTCTATCTTGTGTTGTGAGTTTGTGGTTTAAATACCAGGATTATCTTTGTTTTTGCTGTTTTTCTTCCCTTTAGCTTAATGCTATACTTGAGTATTTGCTATCCTATTCTGATTCTGTCTACCTATTTATCTCCTTACTACATGTTTTGTGACCCCTTTCTCCCTCATTTTTTTCAGGTATGAGGGCCTTCTTGAGGATTTCTTGTGTGTGGGCGGGGGGGGGGGGGGATGGTGTCGTGGCTATGAACTCCCTTAGCTTTTGTTTGTCTGGGAAAGTTATTTCTCCCTCATATCTGAAGGATATTTTTGCTGGATAGAGTATTCTTGGCTGAAAATTATCGTCTTTTAAAGATTGGAATATGTCATTCCATTCTCTCCCAGCTTGTAAGGTTTCTGCAGAGAAATCCACTGAAAGCTTAATAGGGGTTCCTTTGCAAGTTATTTTCTTCTGCCTGCCTGCCCTTGGTATTCTTTCTTTGTCATTCATTTTTGTCAGTTTTACTACTAAATGCCTTGCAGTAGGTCTTTGTATATTGATATGTAGGAGATCTGGAAGCCTCTTCCACACAGACTTCCCTCTCTTTCCCTAGGTTTGGGAAGTTCTCTGCTATTATTTCTTTGAACACACTTTCTGCTCCATTCTCCTTCTCTTCGCCTTCTGGAACATTCTTACATTGCATTTCCTAATTGAGTTGGATATTTCTCAGAGATTTTCTTCATTTCTTTTTAGTCTTAATTCTCTCTGTTCCTCTGTCTGGAGCATTTCAACATATCTATCTTCAATTATGCTGATATGCTCCTCTATGATATCCACTCAAGCATTTGGGGAATCTGTATTTTGTTTTATCTCTTCCATTGTGTCTTTCACCTCTAATATTTCTGATTGATTCTTCTTTATAGTTTCAATCTCTTTTGTGAAGTAGCTCCTGAACTCATTGAACTGTTTCTCTACATTCTCGTTTACCTCGTTGAGATTTTTGTTGATAGCTATTTTGAATTCATTGTCATTTAAATTACATATTTCTGTGTCCTCAGGACTGAATTCTGGGTACTTGTTGTTTTCTCTCTGGTCTAGAGATTTGATATTGTGTTTGATATTGCTAGAGGAGGTGTGTCAGATCTTACACCTCCTGATATTAGCTGGTTGCAGTTACCGCCTATCACCACTGGGTGGGGGTCAACAGCCATGTATTCTGAGCCCTCTGCCTTCAGCAGAGATCCCAGGCAGTGGAGCAGGCATGTGGCAGGTGGGGGGTGGGGTGCTTTCTCCTGCATGCTCTCCAGGCTTTCTCGCTCTGCTCTTGCTATCTGGGGTGTTGGCTTCATGAGGTCACCCCCTGCAAAAGCTCTCCCCCTAGTAGAGGTCTTCCCTCTAGGCTGCATGGGCCCTTGGGAGTCCTTGATGCTCCCGCAAATGAGGGTTCCCTCCCCCATTCCTTCCCACAGAGCCTCCTGTGGTCACAGATCATAGTCTTTAGGGGAGGGCAATTAACTTTTGTATAGATCATGTATCCTGTGTTCTTGCTGTACTCACTTATTAGTTGCAGCACTGTTTCAGTAGATTCTTTAGGATGTTCTATGGAGACAATCATTCTATCTGCAAATAAAGACAATTTTATTTCCTTTTTTCTAATCTGCATAACTTTATTTCTTTTCTTCTCTCTCTCTCTTTTTTTTTTTTCTTTTTTTGCTGAGAAAGATTTGTCTTGAGCTAACATCTGTTGCTAATCTTCTTATTTTGTATGTGAGCTGCTGCCACAGCATGGCCACTGACAGATGAGTGGTGTAGGTCCATGTCCGGGAACCAAACCCGGGCTGCCAAAGCAGAGCACACTGAACTTAACCACTAGGCCACCAGGGCTGGCCCTCTTTCTCTTGTCTTATTTCGCTAAGTAGGACTTCCAGGAAAATCTTGAATAGAAGTGTTGAAAAAGGACTTCTTTCCCTTATCCCTCATCTTAGTGGAAAGCATTCGGTCTCTCAACTTTAATTATTATATTAGCTGTAGATTTTTCCTAATTCCCTTTGTTAGGTTAAGGAAATTTCCTTCTATTCCTAATTTTTGAAAGTTTTTGTCATGAAATGTTTGGTGTTGAATTTTGTCAGAAGCTTTTTCTGCATTATTGACGTTCCAAGACCCCCAGTGGATGCCTGAAGCCACAGATAGTACTAAATCCTATATATACTATGTTTTTTTTTATAGATACATGCTTATGATAAAGTTTAACTTATAGATTAGGTACAGTAAGAGATTAACAACAATTACTAATAATAAAATAGAACGATTATAACAATATAATGTAATAAAAATTACCATAGATCTTAGCAACCTCAGTATGTGATTTTTTTTTCTTTCCTTAGTTAGTCAAGAACTTTCACCTTTTTGCTTAAAGAAAACACTTTATAACTTCTCTTTGGCATATTTGAATTGTGGGCATCACTGCTCTTGAGCTTTGGGGCCATTATTAAATAAAATAAGGGTTACTTGAACACAAGCACTGTGGTACTGTGACAGTCTGATAACTGAGAGGGCTAAGTGACCAAGGGCGGTTAGTGTATACAATGTGGATCTGCTGGACAAAGGGATGATTCACATCCCAGGCAGGGACCAAGCAGGAGGGCAACGAGATTTCATCACACTACTCAGAATGGTGTGCAATTTAGAACTGAATTGTTTCTTTCTGGAATTTCCATTTAATATTTTCAGACCAGGGTTGACCACGGGTAACTGAATCACGGAAAGCAGAACTGCAGATAAGAGGGCATGATTGCACAGCATTTCCCCCTCCCAACCCCCCACTCCTCCCCTCTCATCCCCCAGCCCCTACTCTCTTCCCTGGTCAGGACATTCTTAATCTATTTCCTTGGAGCCCTATCTCATGCTAAAATTTTTACCCCTCAGGGGACCAGAGCGGAGAGGAATTGTTTTCCCCCAGTTTTCAGAACTATGCTTAGGCAGAGTCCTTCTCCGTGGAGAGCAGGGCTTTGTTCCTGAGAAGACTCTCCGTATCTTCCCAATGGCTAATCTTCCCCTCCCTCTGTCAGGGTCATGAGGGGATCTTTCTTGGATCCTCACCACAAGAAACTTGGCGAAGTTCCTAAAAGGAAGGCCCATGAAAGTGTGGGGCCCCCTAAGACTGTGGCCTCTGTTAGTCTCTCACTCTCATATTGAGTACACAGTCAGCCTCCAACAAGTTGTCACATTTACCATTCAAATGTTCCTATCAGTCTATGACTCATGGCTTCCGTTCCAGGTAAGCAGGCTCAGTTACTGTGTCCCCCTGGATGTCCCTGACTCTCCAGATTTCAGGCTGGCAGCTTGCCCTGCGACCTCAGCTCTTTGATGGATCCGAGGAAAATTACTGAGTTTTCACTTGCTCAGCTTTCTTGTTTTAAGGATGACGGTGCTGATTTCCAGGCTCTTTACACTTGAGAGCTGAAACTGGAAGTCCCTTCATACTATTCAACAGATCGAGATAAGTGATCTTCACACACCTCAACAGATCACTACAAGTCATGAATCCATTTCTGTGCATTTGGGATAAACACAACATAGCACGGCCACAGAAGGGCAAATACAACAAACGCAGATAATCACAAACACAGTGCAGTCAGGTGAGACAACTTGATTCCACTTTTGAATTGAGATGGACTGAGGAGTACCTTCCCTGTGCTGCTCACGCAGCCTTGAAGGTTTTAATGACTTCTAAAGTAACGAGATTTCTAAGAAAAATCACACATTTCCCTTTTATGAAATACATGTTTTTCACAAATAAAAAAGGGTTTTTTTTCCCTCATTAATTTTTCTCCTGAAACTGACAAAACATCTGTTGACAACTTGATAAAATTCTAGAGACTACGCTGAGAAAGTCCTCACCAGGAAGTCTTTGCAGTTCTCCCATAAAGCGTGATATCTTGTTAGAGAAGACAGCATTAAGGGGTGGGTCCGAGGGGGCAAGGAGATGGAAATCAGGCGTCCATTTATGTATTCATTCATTTACTATATTCTTACTAAATAGTATATATTCCAAATAGCCCAAAGCCAGATCCACACCCCTTTGAAGGCACATTGCACCTTATGGTAATTGCAACACTCTCCATTCGTGTAGGGTTTGCTGTAGAGGGAGCTCGTTTGTTCAAGGGTCAAATGAGCATTCCCTTTGCCTTCAAATAGGATTACTTCTCTGGTTAAGCACCAACCAGCCATGACAGCTGTGTCAATTCTGGCAAACTAACTGATCATTTTTGGCCCAGAGGCTACTTAGCACCAGCTCTTTCCTTACTACCATTTGTAGGAATCACATGTAATATGACAAAATCAGCACACAGTCACCACCTTCATTCCCTACCTGACTTCACAGGAAGAAGGGTTATTTACTTTGTGAAAACTGGGCTCCAGGATCTCGTGAGAGCAGTAGAGAAACAGAATCCATGGTCATTGCTTAGCGTTGCAATGACTACTGCCTGCTCCATATGAGTGGGATATTTTCAACTCCACTCACCTTAGAAGCTCCGCATTGGCCATTTCCATCCTTACTCTACATTCATGCCTTCTTCTCCTCTAGTCTTGCACTAATGTTGCTGGTGTAAATCTACCTTTTTCTCTGGCTCTCAACTTTCTTGAGGGAAGGGATATGACTACTTCTTACAGTTCAAGTCCTTTTTGGATCAAGGTGGGAATGCATTTTGAAGCTTGCCTGTTAGTATAACAGGAATCTTTTGGTTCTGATTTCATTCACTAAGAAGTGTAATTATATTTGTCTCAGTACGTACATACCACAGCCATTGTGATTGACATTGGCTGCTTAAATGTAGGGTCTGGTCTTCATTCTTAAGTTGCACCCTATACAAAGTCAACAGGCAGAATGAATGAGTGTAGTCCTTCTGCTCTGTTCAAGCTGTGGGCCAGAGATATATTAGCCTGAGGGAAGCAGATCCTTTTTGTAATTTATCTTCCCAGAAAGTAATTGACAGAGCTGACGACATGTGGCCCTTATTGAACTGGTGACATCAAGGGAACAAAATGAGCAAATAGACTTCACTCACTATGATTAGGAAGAATGGGTTTTGGAAAGATCAGATAGTAATTTCAAACAGTGAAAATAGGGATGTGTGTCTTTCTTTCTCATTTTTATCTATATAAATAGACAAGTTACCTGTATGTCTACCCACCAGTAACAGCATAAAATTAAAGAGTAATTCTCTATACATTGATCTTGTTATAATGTCAACTACCAAAACTGCTCTCAGTGGGCAATTTTGTGATCAGTGCCAGATTGAAAAATGAAAGCTTGACACCTATCACTGTAAAATTAATATTATTATCTTTGGCAGATTTTTTCCAGTTATTTGGATTACTTCCAACACTGTTATTCAAAATTCAAATAATGATTTACCTGTGTGTGTGATTTACAACTAATTCATCCTAAAGGGCTCACCATAAGGCTGCATTGCAAAATATTAGACTGCTTTTGGAGGTAATATATATTAGTGGTAAAAAAATTCAAAGTTTTATAAAGACTGAATATAAAGCTATAGTAATTATCACAGATGGATGTTGCTGTAGAATACATAAATAGAACAATAGGACAGAACAGAAAGCCTAGAAACAACTCTATACATGTAAGGAAATTTGATATATAGTCATGAGTTTCTGAATTAATGAAGGATGAACTATTCAATAAATGGGGCTGGGTCAATTGACTAGTCACAGTTAAAAAATGAAATTGGAACCTAACTCACATCATACACATAGATTGGCAGAAATTTAGAAATCTGGTGATAGTAAGTGTTGGTGAGGATGGGGAGCAACAAATAAGACCTCTACAACACTGCTGGTGGCATGAGTATTCAAAATTACTATAAAAAATAATTTCTCATTTTCAGTAAATTTGAAGACCTGCATGCCCTATAATTAGAAATTCCACTCCCAAGCATCTACCCTAGAGGTGCTCTTTTGACAATAAATGTCCCCTTTACTATCCTTATATCAAATTCATAGATGATATAACTTACCTACACACATAATTTCAAAAAGCTAACATAAACCAGAAAATCAAGGATCTGCCATGACATAAAATAAATTGTGGCATGATTTTGAGCAGTTGATGGTGAATAAGAAGGAAACTTTACCTTTGCTTGAGGATAGGAACATTCTCCTCTGAGGAGCATTAAACTCATGAAGAAGGAAAAATAATTCTAGATCACTACTTGATTCTGCAATTAAAGATATTTATAAAGTCATAAAAAGTCAACATGATACCTAACTAATTAATAAAAGGAAATAGATTGTAATAAAATAGTACTATTTCAATATTTGGGTATATACCCAGAAGTAGAAGGTAGAAGCAGAAAAGCCAAAGTGATTTGTCCTTTTTTAAGAAAATGTATTTTTTTATTGTAGTAAAATATACATAACATAAAATTTACAGCTTTCAGTGGCATTAAGTACATTCCAGCTGTTGTGCATCCATCCCCACCATCCTTCTCCAAAACTTTTTACTCTTCCCAATCCTAAATTCCATATCCATTAAGCAAAACTCCCCATTCTGCCCTGTCCCAGCCCCTGGTAACCTCCATTCTACTTTCTGTCATTATGAATTTGACTACTCTAGGTACCTCATATAAGTGGAATCATATAATATTTATCCTTTTGAGACTGGTTTATTTCACCCAGCATAATGTCTTCAAGGTTCATCCATGTTGTAGCATGTGTCAGAATTTCCCTCTTTTTTAAGGCTGAATAATATTCCATTGTATGTATATATTACATTTTGTTTATCCATTCATCTATTGATGGACACAATACCCTTTTGGCTATTGTGAATCATGCTGCTGTGAACACGGGTGTACACATGTTTTTGAGTCCCTGCTTTCAATTCTGTTGAGTATACACCCAGAAGTAGAATTGCTGGATCATCTGGTGATGCTACGTTTAATTTTTTGAGGAACCACCATACTCTTTTCACAGTGGCAGTACCATTTTATATTTCCCCAGCAATGCACAAGGGTTCCAGTTTCTCCACACCCTCACTACCATTTATTTTGTGCTCTTATGATAACGGCCATCCTAATGGGTATGACGTGACATCTTGTTGTGGTTTGGATTTGTGTTTCCCTAACGATTAGTGATGTTGAGCATCTTTTCATGTGCTTGTTGGTCATTTGTTTTTCTTCTTTAGAGAAGTGTCTATGCAAATATCCTGGGGCCAATCCCACTACTGGGCATCTATCCTAAGAACCTGAAATCAGCAATCCCAAGAGTCCCATGCACCCCTATGTTCATCGCAGCATTATTTACAATAGCCAAGACGTGGAACCAACCTAAATGCCCAGAAACTGATGACTGGATAAAGAAGATATGGTATATATACACAATGGAATACTACTCAGCCATAAAAAGGACCAAATTGTTTCATTCTCATCAACATGGATGGACCTTGAGGGTATTATGTTAAGCGAAATAAGCCAGACAGAGAGAGATGAACTCTATATGACTCCATTTATAGGTGGAAGTTAACATATAGACAAGGAGAACTGATCGGTGGTTACCAGGGAAAAGGGGGGGTAGGGGGAGGGCACAAAGGGTGAAGTGGTGTACCCACAACATGACTAACAATAATGTACAACTGAAATCTCACAAGGTTGTAATCTATCATAATCTTAATAAAAAAAAAAAGAGACAGAGAGAAAAAAAATATCCTCGGGCCAGCCCCGTGGCCAAGTGGTTAAGTTCGTGTGCTCCGCTTCGATGGCGCAGGTTTCGGATCCTGGGCAAGGACATGGCACCGCTCATTAGGCCATGTTGAGGCAGCGTCCCACATGCCACAACTAAAATATACAACTATGTACTGGGGGGGATTTGAGGAGAAAAAAAGCAGGGGGGAAAAAAAGAAAAGAAGATTGGCAACAGTTGTTAGCTCAGGTGCCAAACTTAAAAAAAAAAAACAAATATCCTTTGTTCAATTTTCAATAGGGTTATTTAGTTGCTGTTGTTGAATTGTAGGAGTTTTTTATATATCCTGTATAGTAATCCTTTATGATTCTCCAATTTCATAGGAAATGCTTAATCTTGACTAAACCAGAACACACCTTTGTGTAGAGTCACCACACATGCAGTGGTTACTAAGGCAGATTGACACAGGCATGTTAAACAGACAACTCGAGTGCCACCAGTGGAACTGCTGTTGGTGATGTGATTTTCCAAAATGGTGAATATTTGGTAATGATCTGAACCAAAAAAAATGCTTTAAAAAAAATCCATGGTAGTTACATTCTTGGAAAACCACTTAGATTAAAGCTATGCAGAATACTTTGTGTTCTTACGTAAAACAGAATTATTTTCTACCCTCAGATCATTACAAACTGATTTTTCACCTGAAGTTCAGGCAGGACATTCCAAAGTCACATGAGCTGTCTGGACAAATCTTTGGTTGTAATCAAACATGGCAGTACATCTAACTTCTCTGGACCTCACCCACTAAATGCCAGTAGTACACCCCAAACACTGTAAGAAACAAAAATCTCACTCACAATCTTCCAAAATATCCCACTGAGAATCACTGTCCTGGGGAAACCTTTAAACATGTCCACCTGGAGACATGTACAAGAATGTTCAGGGTGGCATTGTTGTAACAGCAAAATATTGAAAATAACTCAAGTTTCTATCAAAAGAAGAAGTCCAACGACGAGATGCTATCCAGCAGTGACAATGAACGAATATGAACCATATCTATCAAGATGGATAGATCTAAAGTACATATAGTTGAACAAAATAGGAAGTTGAAGCAAGACACATACAATATGATACCAATTATTTAATACTTTGAAATATGCAAAACAATGTCATGCATTATTTAGGGCTATACATATAGATAGTAATTATAAAGACATTCATTGGAATGATATCAATTTCAAGAAGAGTGGCTATTTCTGGAATGCAAGAGGAGAATGGGATCAGGAAGGAGCATGCAGGGGTGTAAACTTTATTCCTAACCTTTTATATCATAAGCAGGGCAATGGGAACCTGGATGTTCAATATATTATGCCTTATATATTTTATGTCTAAAATGTATTTAAGCAAACAAAAATGATGCCAGAGAGATCTGGTTTTTGAATCCTGGCTGTTACTCACAAGCTGTATGAGGCTGAGCAAATCACTGAACTCTCCTAAACACTAGTTTGCTTTTCTGTAAAATGGGGAAAAAATCAACGCTACTACATAGCAATGCTATAAGATATTGAAATGACAGGATACCTTTAAAGCTCTTAGCGTATTGCCTTGTTCTAGAATAAGTACACCTTTGTGCCAAAGAGGAATGACTCCTGTTTAAACACACCTCATATAGACTCCGTGAGTTTTGATAACAATCTTCTCCCACCTTCTGTCTGATCAGTGTCAAAATACACACATCAGCTCTCAATGGAAACACTGAACCGATGTACTCTAGTTACTTGTCAGATAACTCTCTGTTGTCCAAATCTTATCAAAATCCTGTTTATGAGAATAGGTATTTATGGAGGATTATCTGAAGAACATGCTATTCATCTATTCTCTAAAAGTGATCAATTTTACCCTTGGATCAAATGACACCATCTGTGAGCTGCATATCTGGATGGCACCATCCCCACTGTTGTCACATTTACTTGACAGAATTGAACTTTGCTTGCTGTTGCAATATTGGCTTGCATTGAGGGATGCTGTAAGAAGCGACTGAGCAAACTTTGCTCTTGTATTTATTGCTGGGGTGAAGTCAAGACGTTATTCTCTGGATCAAAAAGTGTTTTCTTTATGAAGACTCAAGGGAGAAATTTTTCTCAGGTCAGTAAGATGAAAACCTTAAACAACTGGTTTGTCTTTCTCCTGTGGACAGTATGGCTCTTTTAACTCAGTGTATTTCCTTACTTACTTTAGTATCCAGAAAATGTATAGTCCAATCTGTGGCCCATCTCTAGTATCTCTATAAAACAATTTGGCACAAATTCCTGAGAAGTAGGTAAATTTACCCTTGGATTGTTTTCTGACCCATATTATCTCTTTGTCCCAACATTTTTAATGATTTATTTTCCATGTGCTTTTGGAAGCTGCCTCTTGTTTATGAAGCAAGATAGGAAAAGAGAAAATGGAAAAATGAGAATAGAATAAAGAAAAGTTGGGTGTAAATAATAAATCACGTAGATAAAACTATGTCTTGTTTACTTTTGTATTCCTCAGAGCACCTTGCACTGAACTTTACAACTAGAATATAGTTAGTAAGTGTTTTTCACAGTAAAAGTAAAATAAAATCTCTCAGCCTCCAGACTATTTTTTCTCCTGCTTGTGCATAGCCATAAGGTTGGACTACACATAAGAAAGGCTTGATGAACCCCTGGGAAGCAGAAGAGAATCCTTTGATACCTTCTGAGTGATGTCTGACATTTCCTGAAAGAATGTTCCAGCCACTCTTCAAGGCTCACTCCAATGCCATCTACTTTATGAGAACATTCCCAATTGTAAACAAAGACTTCCCTCCTCTGAACTCCTTTAGAACTTACTGTCTCTAAGCACTCATTTAAAATTTGCTTTATGATAACTTACCTTGAGATATAAAGACGATTGATAGATAAATAGATCGATAATCGATCGATGATAGGTAGATTGATAGATATTTGGAAGGGGAAAAGACCATGCTTATGGACATTTCTTCATATTCGTAAGCATATTAATGGTCATATATTTGTTCAATAAATATTTTTAAATAGATAAATGAAACTTTATTTCGTTGATTGATTTTTTTACAAACCTGCATTAAAACTGTTCACATGCAACAATATGGATGACTCTCAAATGCATTACGTGAGGGGAAACAAGCCAGATGCAAAAGGCTACATACTTTTGATTCCATTTATATAACATTCTTGCAAAAGCAAACTATAAGGAGAGAAAACAGATCAATGGTTCCCAAGGGCTGAGAGGGAGGGGAGGAGTTGCCTACAAAAAGGCATGGGGGGTGGTGGATGTTGAGGGGTAATGGAACTTTTGTGTATCGCAATTGTGTGGTGGTGGTTACACAATTGTATATGTTTGTTAAAACACTCAGAAGGCTACCCTAAAAATCGTGGATTTTTACTGTTTGTAAATTATGCAAAAATTTAAAATAATGAAGAGTTTAGCATCTGATGAAAATACTGAGTAGATTTTCCATTTCCATTTATCTAGTAAATTAACCCAATCCCTA